CCTTTACCTTACATCTGAGAACACCTTTATCCTGTATTAATATTGTGATACTACTAAAATATTAAACTCTGAGACCCTACAATCTCTTAAAACAATAACTGTTATAGTCCATGTCAAAGGTGTAGATGCTTGATAGATGAATTGTGTTTGGGTTGCATGCCTTCAAGTTGTTTCCAATCTATGGTGGCAACCCTAATGAGAACCAATCATAGGGGTCTCTTGGCATGATTTGTTGAGAAGCGGTTTGCTATTGCCTTCCTTTGAAGATGCGAGAGATTGGGTCTATGCTTTGGAATTAATGCAGTTTGATACCACCTTAACTGCCTTGGTTCAATGCTATGGAATCAGGGGAGCTGTAGTTTTTCAAGTCTTTAGCATCTGTGTCCAAGGGTGTTGGTGCCTCACCAAACTACAGCTCCTACGATTCCAAAGCATTGAGCCATGGCAGTTAAAGTGGTGTCAAACCGCATTAATTCCAAAGTATACCCTGCGACTTGCCCAAGGTCACCCAGTTGGTTTCGTGACTGAGCGGGGATTTCAATTCTATCTCCTGTCCATAATCCAACTCTCAAACCATATGGGTTTCCTAAATTATTGAAAGAGCAATTGTATAACTATCCCTGCAAAATATCATGGCCAAAATATTTTATAATATTGCTATTGTTCTGGATATAAAATAAACTTTAAAAGTAGACTTTTCTGTGCACAGTCTTCCATGTCTCTTCTTCAGAGCTCTCTGCAGATAAAATTTCAGACTTGTCAGGTTTGCAGAATGTCGTTACAGTAGAATAACTGTTGAAGGGTAAACAGTTTTAACATTCACGTACAGTTCAAAATTGCCTGTTCACTTGTCTTTCATAAAACATATTACAGTCACATTCATTCAAATTTTTGTTCACTTATTTCACACTCACTAAAGCACAAATCTTCAATTTGTCTACTACATGGACTTGGAGATGTTTACTTTGTTATTCTGACAATATCTTTCAACACCCAGATAACTAGAAAGCATGTGTCTGATGTTTTATTTTTCAAGCACATATGACAGATGGGAGGCCCAGCATGGGTCCTTTCTGCCTGGCTTTCAGACTTTTTTAAAATAAAAAAAACCCCTACTTGTTACACTGTCTTTTCTATCAAAGCTTGGAAACGTTACTTTTGGATTATTCCTCCAAGATATTCACAGTATACGTGACTGCTGCTCATGCTGGTTGGGATATTCTGGAACTTAAAGTACAAAAAATACTTTTCTAAACACGTTGGTTAATTGAATGCTTTTAAATTAATTTTTTGTCTAGTTCTGATGTAGGTTTACACTTTACTTTTTCAGTGAAAGTGAGAACAAGGAATGAATGCAGCATTTCTGCAAATGTTTTATCCCCCTTTAGCACTCCTTTATCTTTTTTGGCATTGAAACATACAGTTGAGTTCCTTTGAGTTTGTTGGTCTTAATATCTTTTTGATCTTGCAGAGTTATATATTTTTTTGGAAAAAGTTTTTTAGTTGTGATCATATCTTTTGTTGCTTGTTTGCCACTGCGAAAACATGGGACACTTTCTGTATTGCCTTTGGAACAATGGTGGGAAGCCGGGTGGTGGATGCTTCCCTCAGTGGCATGGGGTTCCAGGTAAGTTGGGTAATGCGGGGTGTGGGGCAACAGGTTCCTCATGTTCCCTGATGAGACCCCATGGATTTGCCACAATGTGGTGAATCCATTAGGCAATGTGATAAGGTCCTACGACTTTCCTCAATCTCCACACTATGCAGCATAGCCTTTTTTAGCTGCCACATGACTTGTTCAGCTTCTGGCCTACTAAGACTCCTAGATCCCATTCACATGTACTGTTTTCAGGCTGGATGTCACACATCCTACATTTATGCATTTCATTTTTAATGCTGAAGTGTAGTACCATATATTTCTCCCTGTTGAAATTCATGTTGTTCGTTTTGCCTCACCTGTCTAATCTGTGAATATCATTTTGGACTCACATTTTGTCTTCTTGAGCAGGGGTTCTCAAACTTTTTCAGTCACGGAGCCCTTTTTGAAAGAAACATTTATTGTGGATGGTAGATGGGTGGTGTAGATGAATGTTGTAGTGCAATTTCTCCTAAGAGAAATTCTCTCTCTCTCTCTCTCTCTCTCTCTCTCTCTCTCTCTCTCAGGAATGTGCAAACCTTTGGACACAGAGGCCACATTGCATTTGACAGATGCAAATTTGACAGATGGGCTGGGCCAGTGGCAGATCGATGAAGTGTTTGTGTTAACTGGGGAAAAAAATGAACAAATTGCTGCACATAACTCATTTGTAGTGCAAAAAAAGGAAGGAAGGAAGGAAGGAAGGAAGGAAGGAAGGAAGGAAGGAAGGAAGGAAGGAAGGAGAGACAATACAATATTTAAAATGAAGAACAATTTTAACCAATATAAACCTAACTGTATTTCAATAGAAGAGTCCAGGGGCCATCCAACTCCCTTCTGCAATGCAGTAAAAGCACAGTCAAAGCACCTCCAACAGTGGGCCATCCAGCCTTTGTAATAGTAGTAGTAGTAGTAATAGCAGAAAGCCTTTCGACCATCAGTCATATGGGGCGGGGGGGTTGTCTGTGCCCCAGGAGGATGCTGCTGCTTCTGTTTTGGCTGTGCCAAACATTAATTTCCTTGCATTTCTCAAGAGGAGGAGGAGAAGGAAAGAAGAGGGGGTGGAAAGCAGCATGGTGCTGCGGAGCCCCTCACTATCACTAGCAGAGCACCGAGGGCTCCACGGAACAGTTTGAGAACCCTTACTCTGGAGTATTAATAGTCCCTCCCAATTTGGTGCATCTGAAGGAAAAAGTCTCTAATACACATGGACTTATTTCATTTGACTTCGACCACTAATTTTTCAGAGTTCTGCTTCACATCCTCTCTGGTTTACACCTTCTCTTCTCATATTTTCCATGTGAGAGCAATAATGAAAATGATGGGGTACATGCATCCCTCATCCTCATGTTTAACCTTACTACAAACACTTCAACTAGAATTGTTCAGTATATCTAAAAAATCCATCTACATACCATGATTAGAACATACATTGATTTCATGGGATGGAATTATGCTGATTACACACATGTTAAAGTTTCCTTCTGCATGTGGATGTACCTTTTTGCATTGAATGACATGTACATTCTGTTCATAGTTATCTACATGGAGTTATCAAAATGAAACTGTTTGCCATTTGTGTGTAGTTGGATAATGCATTTATCAGTGCCTTTAATGTATTAAAAAACTGGTATTGCAAAAAGAGCCTGTTGCATATTAGGACAATAAGCAGGCATGACATGTTGATAGATATATGGTATTTTTGTTTACGTAATGTCTAATTTCAGTAGATGGCTGGTGTGGTGCAAGGTAAGAGTAGATTTACACTATGGAAGCGTGATATAGGTTCTTGGCCACTGGTTTTATTCTCTATTTTAATAGTATTTGAGTTACTGTAGTGATAGTACTGTATAATTATAGTACCCATTTATTTCTGAAGCTTGGTATTGCTACCTGCAGTGCTTCTGTGGCTTCAGTTACTTTCAAACTTGGCTCTGATGTAACCTATGCAGGGAATGTCCATTTTGGCTTCCACAGTGTTGTTCCCCTTCCTACTGTTGTTCTGTTGGCAGGCTAGACCTTTTTATTCAGGTGCCAATAAAGTGGCGGCTGAGGAAGAAGTTTATAATTACCGAGTCTGCATTTTTAAACAGTATTTTAAAATTGAATTTGAGTCATTGTTTTTATTAATATTAAAATATATTAGTGCTTATTAAAATACTTTGTGTTAGCTTTGTTTTCAGTTAAGCTTGTTCTTAGCCACCTTCATTCCTAGTTTTTGTGAGAAAACTGAATATTCCTCAAATAAATAAACCAAACTATAAATATTGTCCCATGACACTAAGCTTTAATCTTTCCTTTTGATATGGAGTGCTCTTGGCCAATTGTACATTTTATTTGTTTATTTATTTGCTGTTTTGGGGGGATCTGTGGAAATATCTCAAAGTTTTCCCTCTGAAATCTGTTTAGAGTTGCACTGGATTGCCCAAAGACTGCACAATTCCCACCTTTACTGTAAAGTTCCCATCTTAACACATCCTACTTGGAGTTGTCAGTAAATGAATTTGAAGACTTATGAATGCTGTGTGTTTTTTTCCATTATGTTGCAGCCCCTGTTTGTCACAGTTGCCTATCGACTTCTAGGCTGGCCTGTTCCTGTTAAGCCAACCAAGACTGTGGATATAGTATTGCATTTGGCTTTTTAGGTCTGCAGCCTTGTTTCAGAATTGTCTTTGGGTTTTTAGGTTTCTGATACAGTATTGCCTTTGGGATTTTAGTTCAGTGATGTGAGAACTCTGGAACATGAAGTTATCAATGACCTATAAAAGTAAGGAGTAGTGCATTGAGGGATTCTAATAGTGAACTATGTTCTGATCTATCAGATAATTTCATAGGAGCCCCAGGTGGCACAATGGGTTAAACCCTTGTGCTGGCAGGACTGAAGACTGACAGGTCACAGGTTTGACTCTGGGGAGAGTGCGGATGAGCTCCCTTTGTCAGCTCCAGCTTCCTATGTGGGGACATGAGAGAAGCCTCCCACAAGGATGGTAAAACATCAAACATATCCAGGTGTCCCCTGGGCAACGTCCTTGCAGATGACCAGTTCTCTTACAGCAGAAGCTACTTGCAGTTTCTTAAGTCGCACCTGACATGAAAAAAAAGGTAACTTCATACCTATTGAGAAAACAACTTTGAAAATCATTATATGTGTCAATAAATATAGTCAGGGCAAATGTTGCTTAAATTAATGTATATAAATTTTCTATTATTTTAGGATCAAAATCCCAAACATCATTATGGATAAATGTTTTAGTATTGGGCAGCGGACCCCTTAAATAGCATCTTCCAGCTGTGAATCACAATATTACAAATGAAAATGGTCAGAATGTATCACAGAAACAAATGAAAGAGAAGATAAATCTGGTTATGTTTATACTGTGTTTTGGTTAACACATAGTTTATTTTCTTTTATACAAAAAATCAAAAATAGAAGTAAAACATGGTTGATCAAGAGGGAGAGGGGAGCCCTTGTCTCAGGCTCAGTGAGAATCTGGGCATACAAAGACCTTATTAGATCATTTCTCAAATTATATTTAACAGACACAACTGGGTTTGTAGAAAGGAAGATACAAGACATGTTACATTATATCCATGCAACAAGTAGTGTACAAAATGGTGGTCAGATGAATGTTCTGGAGGCTCCTTGCATTATTTTGTTTCCAAATCATGGCTTTTGCTCACCCTTGCCTTAAAATAATAACTCTTTACAAAGCATTGGCATAGACACATATGAATTTTAGTATATGGTCTAGTTACTATAAATGTAAGGCATCCAAAGAGTCTGCTATTCTGCTGGTGAAAGTTAAGTTTTCAAGTGAGAAGATTTCAGGCCATGTTTGGAGGAAGACAGTGAAACCCCATGAGATGTGAGTCAAAGGAAGAATTCTTGCAGCTCTGGTTCTTCAAAACAACTTCTGCTGTAAGATTGCTGAAGTTTTCTGTTGGTGGTGTTATGCCTGGCAAGGAAAACAAAAACAAGATGCACAGTGACTTATTTTGCCTCATAACTCAAAGATCACTGTATTCAAAAAGTAGCCCTGGTCTAATCTCCTCTAAGGACTTCTGGACTTTAAACTGGCATAATTGTTCAAAGCAGGCAGGGGCAATGTAGTCCTTCAGAGATTGTGGGACTCCCAACTCCCTCCAAGCTGATTAAAATTGCCCAACTTTTGCTTACAGTTAACAAATAAGAATTGAGATGCCTGTTTTCTTCCTACTCTAACAGCTCCCAGGTCCTTAAAGGGGCTCCTCCTCCTCCTCATTTTAAGTGGGGAGTATAGAGAAGGAGGCCAATTTATGTGACAAGGAAGCAGCTGGTCATGGCTTGGAAGGGAAAAGAAATGAAAGTACCCTCACAGATGGAGTTCACCAGTCATTTTCTTCACTTCACAGCCCAGATTGTCCACCTCTTCCTTGTCTTAATTGTGACCCCCTTCCCTTTCCTGGGTCTTGACACTTGCCAGCAGAAGTTTTGACCAAACCTCAAAAGGATAGGAAATACATCCTGTGTTTCATCCAGAAGATATATGTACATTTATGCTACCAGGAGGACACTGTTGGAGGAGCAGGGGTGTCAAACTCACATGAGGCCACATCAGCCTCATGGTTGCCTTCAAAGGGCCATTTGTTATTTTAAGACTGTATAAATATAACTGTGTTGCCCTGGCACTGAATGCCACATAAAATGATATGGCAGGCTGTGTTTGATGCGTGTGCCATAGAGTAACAACATTAACAGTCACTTATACCTTGATACATATTATAATTCAACACCTAGCATACAAGATAGAGAAAACTTGCAACCCCCCCCCCTCTGATATTTACACAGTTAGCCAATTAAAACTGTTTTTACATCTTATCTGTCCACCTTTTCTGTCACAAGCATTTTAAAACTCAAAATACCCAATAAAATCAAAATTATTTTGACCATAAGTTTTTAATTCATTCCCATTTTGTGTGTATTTCACTAATAGATGTATTTGGAATCAATGTTGTATCATCTACCTATTTTACAGACAATCTTCCTAAATATAATTCAATGTATCAGGGTTCCCCTCCCCCCCATACTTTATCCTATTATATGCAGCTCTGAATGCACTGTTGACTGTTGAACAGCTTCTGAAATCTGGAAAAAGTGTGGCTACCATTGTATAATTATATTTCAGTTCACTGTGAATAAGGGAAGTTTACATTAAAATTTGAACAGAAGAGAAAAAGGAACAAATTTCTTCTCTGTTGTTCGCTATCAGTAAAATTTATACAATTTGCACAATGCAAAGTTATCAAGAAATAAAACTAATCGAACAGCAATTGCGTGATTAAAATAATATTGAATTGATGCATGTTGTTATTATGCATATATAATACAATCAAAATGTTAGTAATGTATTTTTTTCATAATATATTATGCAAACACTAATTGCAAAAAACTGTGTATATAGTTTCCATATTATAATCCACAGTATATAAATAACATATTATTAAAATGCAGACTTTCATTTATGGCTATCATGCATGGCTATCATGCATAGCTAGAAATAATTTGGAACTGAATAAATATTTATTTCCATAAATGGAATAAAATAAAATATTTCAACTTTGCTTGAACTCCATTATCAGTACAGCATTAGTGGTTCTTTCATGATATATTTTACAAATTAAGACCATGGAATGACTGTAAAATTTGGATAGAAAGCCTGTCTGATCCACTCTGCATCAGAGCAGATGGCCTGCAACATGTGCTTATTTGTGTACTGCTTCATAAGAAAGCAAAAGACTGATAGACTGGAAACATGGCAATACCACACAACCTCCAGCAATTCCATCCACCCCCAATGAACTGCTCATCCTGTCCAATTAAATGGAAATAGATAAGATAAAAGAATGCCAGATGCAGTTTGTGTATTTCTTCCTTTTTTTTTTAGACAGTAGTTCTGCTAAATGCTCTGTGCATTAAACAGAAAACAGGATTAGGTTGGGGCTATATATGGGCTTACATATGGCACTTGTTTTGTTCTTCGAAGTCAGTGTAAACAGGAAATTGTTTTCCATAGCAGCAGTCAGCCAAAGTAAGAGAGCAGACATTTTTCATTGCTCTCAGTGATCAGGAGCCTGTCTACACATACTATTAAAGGGCACCCACCTTTGTCTGCATCCTGCATACCACTCAGAGAAATGGAGATAGTTGGGCTTTGGCAGGTACAGATGGATATAGCTACAGCACCCAAGAACTGGAAAAGTTATTGGATTGGACTATAACACTTGTGCAATTATAATTCAAAAATATCTTTCCTGTCCTTTGACTCTATCTATGTAACACAACTATAAAAATAATTATCTATTTTTCTTCTTAAAACAGTGGTTCTCAACCTGTGGGTCCCCAGGTGTTTTGGCCTACAACTCCAGAAATCCTAGTCAGTTTACCAGCTGTTAGGATGTCTGGGAGTTGAAGGCAAAAACATCTGGGGACCCACAGGTTGAGAACCACTGTCTTAAAGGAAGCAATGAATAATTTTAGTAATTTTCATTTCTGCTGTGGAAAAAATCTACAAAATTGTGCAGTTTTAAAGTAACTACTCACAATTTGGTATTTATTCTTTGAAAAATTCACATAAGATTGTTTTGTGTAAGAGACAGCATTTTCTGTGCGGAAAGTATTGGCTGGCATTAGTATCTCATTGATACAAAGCCTGGGGCGGTGCGTTTGTAATGGAGTCATATTCATAATCCTTATGCAGTCACAATCATGGCACTATTGCCAAAATTGTCATTGCTGCCCCAAATCTATCTCATGGTAGTTTACAAAGTCATTAGCCTTCTCTGCTAGAATGTGTTTGGCTTACCAAACTACAAATTCCAAGATTCCGTAGCACTCAGCCATGGCACTTAAACTGGTGTCAAACCCCATTAACTCCACAATGTAGACGCAGTCTCAGTGTGGCTGATGCCCAGTAAAGTAAGCTACGTGAGTGTCAGGCCAGGAGACATAACTGAGTTACTTATATGTAGCTAAGCAGCCCATGTAGAATGCTGCTATTATTTACTGCATGGAAAATGCTGTTTCCTGTAGGAAAGAACAATATGCTATTTCTGCACAGAACAAGTCCCCAAATCCAAACATTTTCATCTGTCTAGGTTTCTCCTTGACAAGGTTTCTCAACACTCAAGGAAAATGCTATTTAACCATTAAAAAAAAACACCCCATTTCCACTATTCTTTCCATCTCTACATTTTGCATGTGCTGGGTATAGATAGCAGTTTCCTTCCTCCTTCTCTGTTCCTAGTAGTAACAAAAGGAGCTATTTAGTTCAAAATGAGTTTAAGCTATTTTCCCTTGTATTTCTTAATGCTTCAGAAAGATTAATTGAATCACAGCATCCAACCTACAGAGGCCAAGAGATGCAACAACCCTTTTTATGGCACGAAGATTTCCTAGTCTAGCAAATAAATGGATGGCGTGCATACTAGTGAAGGTCAATGATTATTCTGCCTTCTTTTAATGGAAATTATGCCAGTAATGCAGTACAGTCACCTACATTCCTCTAAAAACAAGCAGATCAGGGCCAAGACAGATGATATATAAAATGCATGACTGCATTTAACGTGTCTGCTTTTTCTTTTAAACACAGCACAAATGGCAGCTTTCTTCCTTTTGCAAATAATAGTGTATGAGTGTTTGTGTGGGGATTTTTTAACTGAAGCATGATATTTAGAAGTGCAGATAGCTAAAACCATTTTTTCCATGCACATTTTTTCATGTCAAGAGTGATTTGAGAATCTGCAAGTCGCTTCTTGTGTGAGAGAATTGGCTGTCTGCAAGGACTTTGCCCAGGGGACGCCTGGATTTTTTTTGATGTTTTACCATTCTTGTGGGAGGACGTGCCTTCGAGGATTAAAAAAGTCCCTCACCTTGACCAACTCAGCACATAATGTCTTTAGATGCACTTTATCTCACCCTTCAGTGAACTAAATCTCATTGTTTGCCCCATCCGAACCTTTCACCAGATATATCACCCTACTCATCCATCTCACCCAGAGTTTTAAAAATCCTATTTGTTGTATTTTGCCCTGCCCACTTGGTTATTGTTTTGTCATTTACATTTTACATTGCGTTTATTTTATATTATTTTCTTTGATTTTATTGTATTCTGTTTGTTGTATTAATTTATGATTTTATATTGTATTCTTTTGCTTTACTATAACTGTTGGGCTTGGCCTTATATCAGCCACCCCGAGTCCCCTAGGGGAGATGGAGATGGGATATAAGTAAAGTATTATTATTATTATTATTATTATTATTATTATTATTATTATTATTATGTCCCTGCATGGGGAGCTGGAGCTCATGTCCCCATATGGGGAGCTGGAGCTGAAAGAGGGAGCTCATCTGCATTCTCGCTGGATTTGAACCTCTGACTTGTTGGTCTTCAAGTCTGCTGGCACAAGGATTTAACCCATTACGCCACCAGGGACTCCATGCACTGTGGTCCTGATTCTCATGTCCTACTCTGATGGTTATTTTTGATAGACAAAACTCCCCATATATTGTCTGTTCCAAATGTAATTATGAAGAATTTACACTTATGATAACCAGGTTTATGGGCAAAGATAAGGTTGTCACATTTTACATCATGGGAGCATTGGTCTGTAATTATGCCCCATGAAAGCCCTATGTTACTAGAAGCCTTCGAAGACTAGTATGAAATAGTTCAATTCCCTGAGTTACTACAATGATGCTCAACTGTGTTTATTAGATAAACAAATAATGTTTACTGCTACAGAGAAGTCCAACAGTGCTTGTAAGATAAACAAGCAATGTATTTATTATACACATTTGTGCGTTTATTATTGTTTGAGAGAGCCATTAGAGAGTCTATTAGAGTCCAAAAGATCCAACTCAAACAAACTGAGAAATGTCTTGTCTAGATATAACACAGCTGAGAATAAGAATGCAGAG